AATTTTGCTTTATTAAATAATGAATTTCGTTAAATTGTACTGTACTTTCTTAACTCTTGATGTTTTTCAAGGTATAAGCTCATCCCGATGTTACACTCATCAAGAGCTTTCATTTGAGTACCCACATGCATTTTTATATATTTTTCATATATTCATATATATAATATATATATATATATATATATATAAATATATGAAAAATTGGTGTGGGTACTCAAATGAAAAGTCTCGATGAGTGTAACATCAGGATGAGCTTATATCTTTAAAAATGTCAATAGTTCACGAGATACAAAGTCATTTCTTAATTATGTATCTAGAGTCAGAGTATTTTCCAATGCAGTCTAAATACTAATCATCATATTTTCTTGATAATATAGATTATTATTATTATTAATAAAGAAATAAAAATGATAATAGAAGACAAATATAAATAAAATAACTTACAACTTCAGTATTGTCAGTACAATGCTCACGTTGTACCATTAAAAGTTTTCCAGACACATTCAAAAGCAAACTCTCTGGGTGTGGATGAGTCCCAGCTGTTTCAGCTCGTATTGTTGTCAGTGTTACGCTAACAACACAAGCTGGGTGTACACAAAGTCCGCTAATGTCAACAATTTGAGTTCTTGTGAGCTCAATACTTCCAGTACCTTCAATTCCTTCGAGCGTCATGTCGAAAATACTGACTTGAGCATTAGCACAAAATATAACCAGCCTCTCTTTCATTGTGTTGACGAGTAATACTTGAGAAGGCATTCGAACACTTTTAACATAATTATTATCCAGTCTTGTGTCTCGGGGATAGATTCTTATCTCATCTTTGTCCTCTACAATAGAGTAACTGGAAGCGATCATGAATCCTCGGTGCCAAAGCAAACCTCCAGTTACTATAAAATCTCTTTCTTGATTCTCATTACCGAAAAGTTTCCATTTTCGGGAGGATAAAGAATAATGCGCCAATCCTGTACGTCCCGCCACAGCAATATTCTGTCCTTCATTGTCAATTGCTGTGTACTGTAAAAAGGAATTTAAATTTTTTTACAAATTTTTTTTTTTTAATTATTTTAAAATTGTAAATTACTCACTCGAATTGGCCAGTTGGAACCACTATATACACTCGGTATTGGTACTACTAGCCACTGCTTTGATCCAGCTAATGTTTGGCAGGTTGAGTCATTTACAATATCATTTCCTAAATGAAAATTTGGTGTATCTGTTACTACACCACCTAAATTAAGGTACAAACGATCTTCGCCTTGGAGATATAAATGCCCGTGATGTCCCTTAAAATTATTTAAACAATTATTATTATTAAATTGTTATATAATATATTTAATTAAGAGACCCAATAATTTTTTTTTAATAAATAAATTAGAGTAAAAAAAAATTATTTTAAAAAATTCTATGTTAAAAAACGCTAAAAAATTATAAATAAGATTTTTTTAGAATAATTTTTTATACCTAGTCTATTTAAAAAAAAAAAAATAAATAAAAATAGTGATCCTATAAAAAGAGTAATAGAAAAAAAGTAGAAAATTTTAATTTCTTAAAAACATGTCTCATGATTTTTTATACAACTACTATTTTGAGTGTAATTTCAGATTTAAAAGATTTATAATAAACTAGAAATCTTGCAGTCATAAACTATAAATAAATAAAATTTTGCTTTATTAGATAATTATTTTTGTTAAATTGCACTGTACTGTCTTAACTATTGACATTTTTGAAGATATAAGCTCATCCCGATGTTACACTCATCAAGAGCTTTCATTTGAGTACCTATATGCATTTTTGATATATTTTCCATATATATATATATAATATATATAAATATATAAAATATATGAAAAATTGATGTGAGTACTCAAATGAAAGGTCTCAATAAGTGTAACATCAGGATGAGCTTATATTTTTAAAAATGTCAATAATTCACAAGATACAAGATAATTTAATTGTTATATTAAATTGCACTGTACTTTCTTAATTATTGACCTTTTTTAAGATATAAGCTCATCCCGATGTTACAATCATCGAGACTTTTCATTTGAATACCCACATGGCATTTTTGGTATATTTTTCATATATACATATATATAAATATATGAAAAATTGATGTGGGTACTCAAATGAAAGGTCTCGATGAG